CAATGGCATCTGCCAGTGTCTGTGTCAGCATGCTTGTACTAGGTCACAACAATGGCTGCCATGAATGTCTCAGTCCCTGGGGAGGTGGTCCCAGCCTGGGGAGGTCTCACCTCTCGTGGAGATGTGCCCAAAGCCTATCGAGTGAGTGTTTTTTCACCACAGGACTGTGCACATTTTCACTGGTGATTTTAGGTTGCTTTCTGAGATGGGTGAATTTGTGCATGGGCCCTGTAACAGCAGGGTTTTCTTTCCCATTATGTCTCATAACTTTTCTGGGGGTATTCCCCATTGTTGTTAATTGCCAGCAAAGCCAGATATTATGACACTCATTTCAGCTGTGCTGAGTCCAAAAGCTTCGTATCGTGGCTAAGCTCTGCCACTCAGATACCTCACTCCTCCAGGAAAATCTTGGTACTTTAAGATTGCTCCTTGACAAAGTGCTGCAGCTAAAACATGGTGTTTTTCCTCTCCAGAAAGGAATTTCTGCCTCTTCCACCTAAATCAGCTCTGTCCTTTGTTGTGGGGGTTCTTTTCACCCAGTTTTCAGTTCTCTCTCAGGGGTAATTGTTCCAAGAGTAGTTGTAAATTTGTTGAGTCTGTGGGAGGTGAGCTCAGAGTCCTCCTACTTCACCATCTTCCTGAAGTACAATTCTTAAATTATATTTGATTAATTATGGCTTCTGATAGGAATTAAAAATGAAATTTTGTATCAGAGAAGTATGATCCATAATAATATTTTGGCAAATTGATATATGTTAGAGTTGAAAATAAAAGAACATCCTTTTGAATTTCATTGGTATTTTTATGATCACTTGTGAGACAAAGACATTTTATAAGAGTATGAATGAGTCTGTTGGGTACTGCCTGTTTATATCCATTGTCATCATTTCTTTTTGGTTTGAATATTGTAACTAGTAGCATTATTTAGGTTATCATTGATAGCTTCCTCTTATACATTTTATCTTATTAATCTTTTTGTTTAATTTTGTTTAAATATAATATGTACTAATCTTACTTCATTATTTAAACATGCCATTGCTTTAGACCATGTACTGTGATGATTTCCCCACCCCCAAATTATAAACATATACTCCATTCCTTGTTTTAGATCCAGTGTGTTACTTAGTTCTAATTGTGAAATGTTGAGATACCTCTACTTCTACCTCCAAATAAGTTAATACCATAAAATAAATAATTTTCCCAGAAATTTGTTATATTTACCAGGAAGAATATATGCATATACATATGAGTGTATTTGTTTATTATGCTTCTTGTTTTGTGCTGCTTTTTCTTTTTCCCATTTTCAGCATAAAGCTTTCCTTAGTAACCATTATCTTCATTCTCCTTTTGTTTTTATTTATTTGAGTAAGTAAATAAAAGGTTTACTTTTTTTTGGTGCATTGGCTCATGGTTTTGGGCATTATCGTGCTGCCTAGACACCAGTGCTGGGTCCTTGAGAAGGGAAAAGGTCAGACAGGGGATGTCTAGGGGAGGAAGGCACATACTCAAACTACTCCTTTAGTTTTTATTTATTTTTATAATTACGTGAGAAATGTTAGAAATATTATCATTTAGAATGGAATCATGTTAAATAAGATACCTGTGTTGTAATAATATCTGCATGAATATTATCTTGGGCTCTAATTTCTATTATTTACTTCTGATCCTCATATGTTGTTTAAAATTTTGCTTCTATTTTTCCTTAAAATTACCTAATTTGGGTGTAATTTTGCCAAATTAAAATACATAGCTTTATATTCTTTCAACCTATCAATACCAATGGATGTTGCAAAGAAATGATTGTGGACAGGACTTTTAAGATATCTTTGCAGGTATTTCCGCCCTGTATATATCCGTTGGGTTTTTTTAATTGACATTTTTATAAAGATAATTGGTAATTCACATGCAGTTGTCAGCAATAACACAGAGAGATCCCATCTACACATTACTCAATTTTCTCCAATGGTAACATTTTGCATGACAGTGATAATATTAACTGCTCTTTTTCACTTTTCACTAATTTTATCTTAACAATAATAATTCACTATTATTCTTACTTCACTACTTTTATTCAGTTGGGTGCATGGGTGTGCATGCGTTCATGTGTATCCCTCTGGGTTTTAAAGGCATCACAAGGGTTTTTTTCTTTGTCTGGATAGGACAAAAGAGAAACACAAAATAAAGGTCACTTTCATTTTGCATTTCTTTTATGGATTTTTAGATTTCATTTTGGTTTGACATCATTTAAAAAATATGTAAAATACATAAATTTGTTAAAGTTGAAGATATAATACAAGAAAATTTCATAAACTTTCATTTCTGTCCCTCTACCCTCTTAACATTCTATTCCTTTATTTAAATTTTTCTATTTGCTTCAAAGAAATATAGCCACTTTGTGTACTGTTCTAGACTAAGCCTTTTCCCTTAAGAATATATCCTGGAGAAAACTCAATAGAGTCACTTCTAGTATAATGCAACGTATGTGTTCCTGAACATATGTATAAGGTAACACACTGACACCCCACCCCACCCCTCCCTCCCCATCTCCTCAATCCAAAGAGGGAACACTGTCTATAATTGATAAAGATTCTTCCAACAAGATTGTAATTTATTTACAAATATTGTGCAAGTCCCCTCTGCTTGACCTCCTGCTGATCAAATTCTTTCTCTGAATTCCCCTTGTGGAATTCACTAATCAGGATCCACAGATCACACAGGAACTCTGCCGCTGGGGCCAGTGCTTCCATGCCCAACAGTTTCTACTAAGGAAGTTACTGCAGGCCTGAGTCTTTCTTCCTCCTCTCTCCCCTTTAGACAAGTTTCCCTTTCCTCACAAGTCACATCAAAGCTGTGAGAGTCACCCAGTGCTCAGTCCACAGGTGAAAGTGTCAAGAGAAAGATCAGAGAAATGAGAGGTTACATGAAAGGAATGGAGTCAATTGTGGGAGGGGGTTGGAGGTGAACAGACTTAAGAGTTGACATCTCTTCTATCAATACCTGTCTTTGGCCACCAACAGCCAAGTATATCACCCATGTGGGTGAGTTAAGCTTTGTATCTGGAAAAAGGACAGTAGGATCATGAACTGTGAAGGGATAAAGCAGGGAAATCTAGGCAACAAGGTGCATTGGCTCATGGGTTTGGGAACTATCGCACTGCCTAGACACCAGTGCTGGGTCCTTGAGAAGGGAAGGGGTCAGAGGGGGGATGTCTGGGGGAGGAGGGCAAAACTCAGCATGTCTGACACTCTACTGTGCTTTAGACTACAGGATCCTTTCTAACACTCTTGTATAGCAACACTTCACAACTAATGACTGTAATTTGGGGTCTTCTTGACAATGAGACATCTGGCAACGTATCCCTGGCTCAGCTCAATGAAAACCACTTCTCTGTGGTCCTGAAGGTCCTTACCAAGCCTGGCAAATTCATTTCTCTCCCACTCAGTGTTATTCCTAATGCTAGGAACTCAAGTATCCAACAGGAAATGGAATCAGCCTGTATAGAAGCAGTTGACCTGATATGAGTTCATCCTGCTTGTCTGTGACTTCACCTTATAAAAGAACCTCCATATTTCCAGGAGGCCTGTGTAGGATATGATCTTGTTGCTTCCCAAAGTAAGATTTTCTTCCATCTTTTACTTGGGATGGAGATTTTGTTCTCTATGCTGTGTTTTCTCTTGGACTTGTAAAGAGCCTTCCAGGAAACATAGACTGCAAGCTAATAATCCACAAAATGCTTTCCTACTTATAACCACCCACATAGCTTTATATTATCACACTAACAGCAATGACAATTTTAAGGAATTTCCAGGTACTGCTTTAAAAGCTCTTTGTACTTTCATTCTTTTAATTTTCACTCTTACTATGTGATCCTGGATAAGGGGTGAATGACTGTACTTGCTTGCATGAATTTAAAATGTTAAAATGAGAACATTTAAACTTGTACTTTCTCGGGAGCACTAAGACATCTGTGACCTAACTGGGCCTGGGCTGCTCCACCAGCCTGGCTGACCTTTCTCTGGCTCCACAGGGAATGGACAGTCTTCCCAGTCCTCAGAGCAGAGAATCTACACCACCTCACACCTCCATCTCCACCCCAGGTGGGGTTCCTTACTCCCCACACCTCCCAAAATGGCACAAAAAACTATTTTCTGACTCATAATGTGCCCTCAACATGACACTGGGCCTCACTAAAGCTGTTCACCCTTTCAAACTTCCAACCATAATTCTGTCCTGAACGTTCCACAAAGTGCACATAATTCCAAAATCAAAAGTGGCTTAAACGATCATGTGTTTATGAGTGCACACATCAGTCCACAGTGAGGTAGGCAGTTTCCTTGTCGGGTCACATGGAGTAGGTGTAAATCCATCATGAGAATCACAGGAAACAATATCCACAGAGAAGGGAAAATTCTACAATCCACCACTAGAACTCAGACTGCTCCTATGAGCAAAGCTGGGTGTTGTCTATGCCTTAAGCAGTTCACTAAGATGGAATAAGGACTCCCAAGAGATTCACATTACCCACAATTCCCTTCAGGGTTTGGACAGCATAGAGGTCTACATTCCCTGAGCACACTGGGGTGACTGATGGACATTGTGGGGAAATGCCACATGGTAGTGATGAGATGCCTTGTGCCACAGGTGCTCAGCAGTTTAGAAAGTCAACTTAGTTGAAGAAAGAATCACAAGTATCTGGTACTAATAATGAACTGAGAATCCTCAGAAGTACAATGTTCAACTGCTGGCTTTTCAATTCCATAAAAAGTCTACCCTCTGGTGTGTTGTTATGTTAAACAAGGTGCTAGCACACCCAGAAAATGGCTAAGGACTTTCTCTAGTATGAACTTTCTGGTGAGTGACGAGGTAAAATTTTTCACTGAAAGTTTCCCCACATTTGTTGCACAAATAAGGCTTTTCTCCATTGTGCATTCTCTGGTGCTCTAAAAGATTTCTTTTGTAGATGAAGTCCTTTTAAATTCACTGCACTTATAATGCCTTTCCTAAGTGTGGAGTTTTTGGTGCTGAACAAGTTTATCCTTGCAGCTCAAGGTTTTCCCACACTCATCACATTCACAGGGTTTTTGTCCAGTGTGTATTCTCTGGTGCTCAAGAAATTTCCCTTTCAGGATGAAGGTCTTCCCACATTCACTGCACTCATAAGGCCTTTCTCCAGCGTGGATTGTCTGGTGCCGAATAAGATTTTGTTTGCGGGTGAAGGCCTTCCCACATCCACTGCACACATAAGGTCTTTCTCCAGTATGAACTTTCTGGTTTTTAATGAAGCTGGAGTGGCATGAAAACAACCTTCCATATTTGTTACGTGCATAATCCTTTTCTCCAGTGTGGATTCTCTGATGCTTGAAAAGTTGACTTTTCTTGATGAAGGATTTCCAACATCCACTGCACTCATAAGGTCTTTCTCCAGTGTGAACTTTCCAGTGATAAACAAGACTAGAACTGTGTCTAAAGGATTTCCCACATTCATTACACTCATAAGGCTTTTCTCCAGTGTGGATTCTCTGGTGCTCAAGAAGATGATCTTTGTGGATGAAGGCTTTCCCACATTCACTGCACTGATGAGGCCTTTCTCCAGTGTGAACTTTCTGGTGTTTAAAGAGTTGCCAGCTGCGTGTAAACAACCTCCCACATTTGTTACACTCATAAGGCTTTTCTTCCGTGTGGATTCTCTGGTGCTCAAGAAGCATTTTTTTGCAGGTGAAGGACTTTCCACATTGACTGCACTCACAAGGCCTTTCTCTAGTGTGAAGTTTCTGGTGCTTAATGAGGTCAGAACTGACTGTAAATGATGTCCCACATGCATTACACTCATAAGGCTTTTCTCCAGTGTGTACTCTCTGGTGTACAACAAGATGGTGTTTGCGGGTGAAGGCTTTCCTACATTCACTGCACACATAAGGCCTTTCTCCAGTGTGAACTTTCTGATGTATAATTAGGGTGGACCAGCGTGAAAATAACCTTCCACATTTGCTACACGCATAAGGCTTTTCTCCAGTGTGGATTCTCTGGTGCTCAACAAGACTATGTTTGCGTGTGAAGGCTTTCCCACATTCACTGCATTCATAAGGTTTTTCTACAGTGTGAACTCTCTGGTGCTCCATGAATTTAACATTTTCCTTGAAGTCCTGCCCACATTCACTGCATTTGTAATGCCCTTGCTGAGTGTGAGAGGCCTCCCTGTTCTCCCTGCTTCTATGTGGTTGCTTTCCACTCTGGGTGGCCTTATGCTGGAGAAAGGCCAGGTTACCCAAGAAATTCTTTTCAACCTCTCCACATGTGAAGCTACTGTCTGACACAAGGATTTTGCAGCTGTCCACATAGGGGGACTTGTTCTCCTCCTCCCTTCTGATGCATTTCTCTCCACTGTGCTGCTTCTGCTGCTGGTGTAGGTATGAACTGAATGAGAACAATTTCCTCCGAGCCCCAGTAGTGTATGGTTTTGGCCCAGGTTGCACTCCTTGGTGCTCAGCCAGGTACAAAATGTCTTTCTCCACCAAGACACACATATTGCAGGAATGAGTCTTTGAGATAGATGGGACTGCCTTTGGAGTCCTGGTCTGCGACACTCTTTCCACAGAAGCACATTGCTCAGAAGAGGCCTCCTCAGGTTTCACTCCATACCAACAACCTGAAAGCACAAAAATGCTGAAGAAGTGGATGTAGACTTTGGTGGAACAGGATAATCTATTACAATGTGTGTATAACACAACCATGAATGAGTCTATGGGTTTGTTTTTAGGGTCAGGGATCCAGGTGGAGGAAAGGATAATCTGCTGTACTAGGCTTCTGATGGTCACAGAAAGGAGGAGCTCTCACAAGCAGCAAGAAAACAGGGTACAGTGCTGTGCTAGGACGAGAGGCCTTTTACAATTCACTCCTCTGCCCCTGGTTCTCAGGAGGAACTTCTCTGCTGGGGACAGGTGAGTGCTGTGTAGAATGTGTGTCCCACCCCTGGAAAACATAATAGCTAAGAGGTAGCTGAAGATAAGAATTACTTAAGTATATGTGCATCTATCCTGACACAATTCATTGTGGACAAATGTTGGAGAACACTACAGAGGGGGAAGAACAGGAGAGATGTGAAGGGCACAGAGGTAGGGGACAACCAGAAGTCAGTGGTCACAGCACAAATATGTGGGCAAGATGTGAAGGATGAGGAAGAAAGACAGAAATGAGGTACAGCCATCAGCCTTGCACTAAAATAGTAGTGAGCAAAGGACAGTTGCCTGGTATGATTAGAACTCATCCATGACAGCATGCCTTTCTCCTGCTACTCACCAGACTCAGGGTCCCATTAACCCCCCTTCCTATGGCCATAGATGTGTCTAACCCATCAGGCACCCATGGCTGGCCTCCACCCCTCAGCTCAAGTTGGTTGACTAAGTGAGACCTAGCAGATCAAAGTGCTAAGGAGAAAATATGGCACTTAAGTAGACAACACTGGCCCATAGTGACCCTACCCATGACAGACCACAGGAGAGAAATCTATTACTAGAAGAACCTGAAGGAAAGTCTTACAAAAGCAATCTAGTGTTGCCCACAAACTACTGACCAGTAAGTATCTGTAATTCCTATGACAGGCAGCAGACAAAAAAGAAGTGGCCAGATCCTGTGAGAGAGATCTTCCACGGATCAGAACAGTCCATATAGGAAGAATGGCAAAGCAAACTGCGATCTGTTGAGCAAGTGACAGGACTCTGAGATGAATCCCTTGAGTGAAAGGCTTCAGCACACAAGGTGCTAGAGCTGAACACACACAGTGCCTATGCCAGGGCACCAAGGAAGGAAGCAATGTCTATGGTCCATGTCTTAGAAAATTGAAGACAGCCTGGAAAAAGGAGAAAAGCAGAGCCCAGTATAGGGCCATGGTGTGGGAGCAATAGTCCTTACCCAGGGAGGCTGTAAGTGACCAGTTCTCCAACATCACATCTTGGTACAGGCATCTCTGGGCATCATCAAGGAGACCCCACTCCTCTTGGGAGAAGCGCACAGCCACATCCTCAAAGGTCACATGGCCCTGTCACGATGGGGGCAGAAGAGTTCATGAGCCTTTCTAACCAGGACCTAAGCAGGTCATGGCCCTCCTCCCCAGCTCCCTACCTCAGAGAAGATGCCAAGTCCTCATGCCACTGGTACTTGCTCTCTCTTCATGTCCCACTGACCCCCTCCAACCATCAGGAAGAACAGACAGGGGGAGAGGCAGTCTCATCTATGTTCTGGAACTGACAAAGAGAGTCCCAACCACTGTCCTCACAGTAAATTGTCCTGGGATTGCACAGATCATGCCACATACAACAACACTTAGGCCTAGTCTCCTGGCTTAAACCCTGAGTACAAGGACCCTGAGTACCCCATCACACTCCCTCTCCATCTGCTCAGCACTATGGGATCACTCATCTCTCACATGCCAGACCATGACCACTACACCTACAACACCACTGCCACCTCTGTCCATGCCTTAGGCATCTCACTGGCTTCCCCACATGCCACTCGGCATGTAGCACTCAGGCAGTGCTTACGAAATGCAACCAGGATCCAGGGCTGCCCCAGGCCTCTGATGGACCCCACTGCCAGTGGAGGTCCAGCACTTCTGTGAAGACCTCCCACCTGGTCCTGGCCTTGTTCCAACGTCAGCCACCCAGACCTTGTGTGGAAGTCAGACAGCCTAAGCTCTCATCTTCTTTAGTGTTGCGTGTGTTGTCCCTACACCAGTCACATCCTTCCTCTCTACACCCCCTCTCACTCAAAGCCCAGCCCCACCTCTCCCACCACAGCCCAAGAATCTCCCAGCTGACTTCATCCTTCCTGAAGCTAATCTGTTACCCAGTCTGACACTCTTCAGGCTCCACCAGGAGTTATCACACAACTCTGAACCTGTGGAAGAGGAAAAACCCACTGGGCCTCAGCTCAGTGTCATGTGACCTCCATTATTGCTTATGTCTCTCAAGAAATCTCTTACCCACCCACTAGGAATCCTGTGCCGCCACCCAGACCTCCACCTAAAACATGTTCCCACACCACACACACACACACTCATGGCCACTGTACTTCCTCATCCATCTTAGTGATGACAGCCACTCCTAGCCAGTTGCCCAAGCAAGTGAGCCAGTCCTTGGAGACTACTCTCTGATCCTTCCCGTTATGTCATTTCCACCATAACCTAGGGAGTGCCTCCCTTCAATATGACACAGTCCACATGACAGCCACCCTCTGATTGGTATCTTTAAATTGATGCTTTTCCCTGAACTCCAGATGTGTTCCACTCAGAGGTCCCTACAGTATCTCAGACTCAACAAGGAAAAAACCTAACTCCTGAGAGTATTTCTGTTAATTACTCCTAGTATCCACTTTCCATCTCAGCAATGACACGTCTACACTTTCACCTAAAACCAACATCTTGGGGTCATGCTAGATTCCCTCTCACCCTGTACAGCAAAAAATCATCCCTACTTACAAAACAAATTGACAAACCAACCTCTTCTCCAACTACAGAGCCATGGCTGTGATACAGCCACCATCAACACTCACCAGGACTGTAGCCTCCCCAGGGTCTCCCTGCCTCTATGCTCACCCCCACAATCTGTCCTCCACTCTGCAGACAGAGTAGCCTGTTTAGACCTGAGTCAGATCAATTCCCTTCTCTGCTCCAAACAGTCTGTGGACCCCGCACTTCAGCAGAGGTACACAGCTACTCATGCTGCCATTCCAGGAGTAGCTCTTACCCCTAAATCTATGTAGCCAGCAGATGGAATGGAGTCCTGCAGTTCCCTGAACACTCCCAATTCATTCTCATCTCCACGCATGTGGACACACTGGTTCCTTTGCCCAGGAAAACTTTCATCATTTAACCTTATTAATTGGAAAAATGGGAATGCTTCTGTACAACTTCTGACCTTGATTAAGGACCCTGTGCATGATTTGACCCAAGGGTCCAGAACTAAGGGCAGAGAGTCCCAAGAAAACACTATTTCCTATATCTGTGTGCAAGGACCACAGGGGTAGGGACCAGGGCCAGTGAGGTACTGGGACCTCTTGTACTTACCTGTAAAGGCTCCATAAATGCTGCTGCTACCATGGGAACCTGTGGAAGAGGGAGGATGTGAGATAAAGGTGATCATGCATGGTGGTAAAGGCTGAGCTGTTCCCTTCCTTCCTTGCCCTGGAGAAGGGTGGTCTCAGGCTGACACCTAACCTCAGATCCTCAGTCCTCAGAGCTAGTTCCTAACGGCTGAATGGCCTTGGACAAAGACTCAACCTCCCTCAACCTCAGTGTCTTCATCTGTAAAACCTCAGAGCATCGATGTGGACTTCACATATCCCTTTGGCATGTGACCAGCGGATTAACATTTCTGTAGGTGGTTTTGAAAATTAGGTGTTTCTTACATGTCTTTGAAGTATTTACGTGAATGTCAAATTTAATCAATACTCTGAGGTTTCTGTGACTGTCTTTCTGACACCAAGTTTGTGGTGTCTTTCCCAACTCCAATTACAGATAATTGGATAACTCTCTAACAATAAGTGGGTGTCCTACAATTCAATCCTATTCTCACCAGAATCCACAGGTTTAAAGGCTCAGTCCCACAAAACTGTCTTCCCTGCAGAAGCCAGTTGCAAGTCCCCAATCCCCCAGGTTACCAGTATTTCTGTCCACCTTGACTAAAAATTCAAGGTTTCCTATTGACGCCTCCTCACTTTCAGTAATTTGGTAGAATAACTCACAGATCTCAGGAAAACACTTCACTTACATGTACTGGTTTCTTATAAAAGATACAACTTGAGAATAGCCAAATGGGGAGCTGTCTAGGGCAAGGTGTGGGGTGAGGGCAGCAGAGTTTCCATGCCCTTTCAGTATGATCCACCCTCCCAGCACTTCCACCATTTCAATGTGTTCACTAACCTGAAAGCTCCCTGAATCTCACTGCTCAAGTTTATATCCCTAAGCTCCAGCTCCCCTCCCATCTTTGGGAGGCTCAAGGTGGGGCTGAAAGTTCAAACTTCTAAGCACTTTGTCTTTCTGGTGACCAGACCCATCCTGAGGCTACCTAGGGGAGCCACCCTAAGTCATCTCACTATAATAAACTCCTGTGTGATAGAATGAGCTAGTTATGAATAACAAACAACCACTATTAATACCCAAGAAATTCCAAGGGTTTTAGGAGGTCTATGTAAAGATCCCAGTTTACTGGATTGATGCCCCACATAACAAAATTTTGATCGATGAAGGATCACATAGTGTGGTGGTCCCAAAGATTAGTACCATAGATCCTAGCTGTGTAGTAGGCTATAGAATCTAGGTTTGTGTATGTACATTCTATGTTGTGTACAGAACAAATTCACCAACCTCCCACTTCTCAGAATGTAGTCCAATCTTAAGGGATTCATAACTGTACTTGCTTGCATGTATTTAACCTGTTAAAGCTGTAAGTTTTAAACTTGTACTTTCCTGGGAGAGCTGAGGCATCTATGACCTTGACTGGGCCTGGGCTGCTCCACCAGCCTGGCTGACCTTTCTCTGGCTCCACAGGGAGTGGACAGTCTGCCTAGTCCTCAGAGCAGAGAATCTGCACCACCTCACACCTCCATCTCCATCCCCATCCCAGGCAGGGCTCATTCTTTACTCCCTCCTCTCTGACCCCCCAGAAAGTCCTGGAACCACAGGACCCTCCTTTCTGCAGCAGCCTCAGAAAATCGCAGCCACTCTGCCCTGTCCTCCAGCCCCAGTCCACTTCTCCTTCATCTCAGGGCCTACCTCAAAGAAAAGTGTTAAGATTTTCCCTCCTAAACTTGAGATCCAGGCTTGGCCCTCATCCAGGACTTAGGCTGCCACCATGTGGACATCACTGAGACAGCTCCCATCTACCCAACTCAAGACTGGCCATGCCAGCTGCCTATAGATCACCTCTACTCTGGGATCTCAGAAACAGCACGTCCAAACTCCAGCTCCTAATCTCTCCTTGAAACCTGCTCTCCTTACCAGTTTCCCCATCTCAACTCCTCCAGATATTCAGCCAAAAGGAAATCTTGATTGTCCTTCGCTCTGCCCTTTTGCTCACAGGCCACACTCACTGCCACAAAATATCCTGCCGGTTTTCCTTATATTTATCAGGAATCTTCTGACTTATAGTCCTTCTACCGCCACGGCTCTGGTCCAGGAACCAGCATCATTCTCTGGAGTCTATTCCAGTAGGCTCCTGTGGGAGATCAAACTCTGCCACCCTGAAATATGTCTCTTTACCTTGATTATTTTCTCTGACAGACATTTGACCTCCACCAAAATGCCTAAAGAATTTAACACAAAATATCTGTTTCAGGAAGGAGTTACTACCATATGATGGCTGTAATATAATGTAAAATAGATGTTACCATAGGAAAGGCACCAACAAGCCCATCTTATCAAAAATTCTGTCTCTCCCAGGTCACATTCTCTAGGTGGCCCTGCAAAGAGTTGCCAGACAAACATTTACATTTGTAAGGGAAATCTCCATTTGTAAAGCTATCTCCCTCTCTGTGCTGGGAAGAGGGGGGATGACCTCATCTCTAGAAACTTATCAATGTGGAAGGTGAGGCATTAAATCTGCATAATAACCTTACTCTTGTTTACTGTGCTTTTCTGGTAATCTCCCATAACTGACTCCCCCCACCTCCAACATCCTCCTTTGTCTTTAGCTGAACCATAGTATTTAGATGAGAATCTCTGCCATTTTGTTGAGAAACTCAGCTTCCCTGGTTTCTCCCATGTATACATGTTATTAAACTTGGTATTATTTTCTCCTGCTAACCTGTCTTTTAATTATTTGACCAGCCATAAGACCTTAAGGGAAAGGGCGGAGGGGGATTCTCCCTTTTCCCCCACACTCCTCACAGGTCTCCCCGTCTCCCCCCTCTTCATCCTCCCCCACTCTGTATCCCCGAGCAGCCTTTGAAATACTGTGAAAACTCTATCTTAGAGATCGTGTTTCTCTTTTATTCACAACACCACACGGCTCCCAGAACCCTCAGACTGACGGCCCAGCTGCTCAGACTGCCATAGCAGTAAGACTCCTCCTCACACTCTCTGCTTCCTGCACACAGGAGTTGGACCCCAGGTTTCCCGGATGCTCCCGGCACAGGTGCATCTCCAAGACTTTGCAGGTGCTGCTCCCACGGCCTTTCGCACTTTTCCACACTTGATCACACTGCCTTTCAGAAACGGGGACCCCACCCCTGAACCCCTACTGTTCTAGAGACGGGGGCCTGAACTGCAGTGACCTGAGCAGGAGACTCTCATCGGGGGCTTTAGGATTTGGGTCAGGATCTGGGGAACGCAATGGTCACCTGGGCCGGGTCCTTCAGCGCCTTCGTCGCCATAGGACCCTCTGGGCGCAACGCTGCCGGGAGACGCGTGTGATAATGGCGGAGACCCGGGCCAGTGGTCCACAGAAAGAGGTCACCCGGGCCGCGCTCACACGGAACCTCAGCTCCCGTGCAGTGAGGACGACGCCTCCTCTCACTTTTTCCGGCTCCAGTTACCTCAGCCCGATCTTGCAATCTGGAGCCTCCGCTTCGGTGGACGGCAGCAAAAGCCGCCAAAGGAGCGCCTTGAGGCAGACGCCGGAAGTCCCGCCCCGTCCCACATCAGACTCACGGAAACGCCCCAAGTGTGGGCTTTCGTTGGTGCAGAGCAGCCAGGCCGCTCGGCTCACAGTCTCCTGGGTAATGTAGTTCTTGCCACCTAACAGCGTGCCCTGCAGACCAGAGGTTCTGCCAACCTCCGGGGCATAAATGAGACAAATGACCCCCTGGGAAAGGACAAACTAAAAACACATCAAAGTAGAGTCAGAAAGTCTACATAACTTTTTTAAAAATCGAATTTAACTCATATTAATATAAAAATGATCCATGGTTACAAAGAATGCATTCAAACTGTTTAAAGACTGAGACTCGCTCCAGTCCTTAATTTTCGTTTTTCTCTTTTTTATTTTCTACATAAAGACTACCGAGGTGAAAATGTTGGAGGAATTTTCAAGGGGAAAAATCAAGTCAGTAAGATTTTAGAATACAAATGTAAATTATATGCAACAAAATGCCTTGGTATACTTCATTATTGGCTAAAATATAAACATACAAATGTAGATAACATAAATCTCTTGTTGACGCTGTTAACTTGGCATGCCTTGCAATACCACTAAGACATTGTGCTGAAACACTAGATTTTTGTGGGGGTGAGGTGAGGTGCTGGTAATAATAGTTATAAGTGTAAAAATCCCAACGTTGTTTTGGAATTGGCTAAGCTATTTATAAATGTCAGAAGGCAATGAGTATAAAAGATACAAAAATTATTCTAATATACAAGGTTGGAGTAAGTTTTCTAAAGGAGACTAAGGCAAATCTAAATTTACAATAAGAAAGCAGTGTCTGATTGGCATCCTGGCATGGAATTTAAGTTGAAAACTAGCAGAATAAACTATAAAGTTTATACAGAGGCACTCTCATATTTACATTCTTCCTTCAAAGCTGAGTGTGGTGGTGCTGCAGAATATTGGGAAATGGCTGCTTTAAAAAAAAAATGGTTCTGGGGAAACAGAATATCCAACTGACAAAAACTCTAATTTTCATCCCTGCTTTTAATCAGACACAAAAATTAATTTCAGATAAAAAAGGATTAAATAGGAATATAAAATATGTACCTCTTAAAAGATCGTGGAAAAAAATGTATTTGTGAGTATGAGAGCAGGAGTTCTCAAACTAAATATGAAAATTGTCACAACATGTACACAAACTATATGAAAATACCCAGATTCTATTATCAAAAAAATCATAAAAAACGTAATGTCAGGAACAAACATAAAAAGATTTGGACCCATATATAATTATTAAAGAGTTAATATATAAATAGTTGTCAATGCAAATAATCAATACTCAGATAAGACAGAGTGATATTTGTTGATATTTAGTGAGCCATCCTGAGGACTAGCCCAGAAGTGTTATCTTCCCCAGGAAAGAGAGCATTCCAGACAAGTGTGGTTTACAGCATGGTTACATACCATTTCAAAACAAAGAAAATACATCAAACAAGACAGGAATACAATTTTTTCCCCCCAGAGTCACAAGGAGATGTTTTGCTGCAGTTTAGCACATACATAGCTGGTCAATCTGACTGGGTTCTGCAGGAGGAAAAGCTTATCATCAAAGAAGTACTGGTATTGGTGTCAGCGAAAGGCACACATTCATCCTTATATTTCAAGACTGCACTCCTAGCTTTGGAAAAATGTTTGAAGCGGGTGTACAATGCATGTTCAGTGAGTCATAAGTCAGTCTGCTCTGGGAAAAACAAGTTTTAGGCCAAATCAGATTTAAACAAGAATGGCTACCCCATCTACCTCAATATGTGAAAACTTATTATTTTCATCATCATAAATAAATTGAATAAGTCCTACAAATTAGCAAGAGAAAGATTTAAAGTGAGAGACTGCAAAACTCTTTTATACCACTTTATAATTACAAAAGGCAAACAACATTTTTTTAAAAAAAGGAAAACCTTATTGGCAATCAGAAAAATGCAAATTAAAATGCAACATCAGACTGGTGGGACTCAGGAAGTCTGACATTACCGAATGTTGGTAACCCTGAAGGAATTAGTAAATACCCTAAACTTCTGCTTCTTGTTCCTGAACCCTTCAAGACTCATCCACGTATGTCCCACAGCTCTGGCTTCCTTTCTTGTCCTCTGTGGAAGAACTTTCCCTCTGATCATGGCCAGTGCCACCACCAGAGCCTACTTCATACCTTCTGCCCTCTCAGGGAACTTGCTTCTTCACTTATTTTCTGCCTCGTCTGTATCTTCATCCTTTCTCTACTCAACCTAATAAGGGGCTCCAGGTGTTTACGCTTGGGAAAAGGAAAACAAACACAAATGCTTTTAGATCAGTCATAGCCCAGAACTAGTGTTGACTCTACTGATGAAGCTGAGTTCCTTAAAGGAGTTGTCTCCTTTTGGGAAAAGATGTATACACTTGAATTTCATACTTATTGCTTAAAAATCTCACTTTTTTTAATATCAGAAGTGTACAATGATGTGCACAAATCCTAAGGATTCAGCTTAAAGTTTTACATATGTATAAGCTGAAATATCCTCCACTGCAGTCAAGACTTAGAATATTTCCAGGACCTTGGCAGGCTCCTGGTGCCCCTTCCTTGTCAACAGCTCCCCCGACAGAGGTAACCGCTATTTACACTCTATCGCTGTGGGTTGGTTTTATTGTTCTTCTTTTAGGAGAGTGGGGTGTGCCTTGAACAACAGAATTTACTTTCTCACAATTCTGGAGGCTGGAGTTCCAAAATCAAGGTGGCAGCAGCATTGGTTTCTACTGAGGTCTCTGTGCTTGCCTTGTAGAACAGGATGGCTTCTTCCTGCTGATGTCATTGCTGTCGTCCAAATTGCCCAGTGCCAACAATGAGAATAATAACGTATTAGTCAGGGGTCTCCAGAGAAGGAGAACCAATAGGATGCATATATACATAGGGATTATTTTAAGGAATTGGCTCATGCGATTGTGAGAGCAAAGTGATTTTGAAGTCTGCAAGGCCAGCCAGTAAGCTAGAGGAGTTGATGTTACAGCCTTGAGTCTGAACATAGTCTGGAGGCAGAATTCCTTCCATTCCAGGGATCTCAGTCTTTGACCCAGAATTTAGAAAACATGCTGCATCAAGAACCCTGCCAAATGTTTCACAGGCATTTTCTCTTTTAATCCTCATGACAGCCTGAGAAACTTAGCATCTCCTAGTCTCTCAGATGAGGAAATGATGACTTGAAGAAGAAGGTAATCCACCCAAGATCAGCTCACCTGACAGAGGCAGGGCTGGAACCGAGGCATTCTGGCTCCAGACTCTCAGTCTGAACCACCATACTGATGGTTGAACCTTGTGTTGTACTATTTGGCCCTGTGTCCCTCTGTCCCTCCTCCTCTGTGATCTTCATCCCCTTCACCTTACTAAAAACAGCACTTCAATGTGGGCCTCACCAGGCATCAGATGCCACTTCTTCCTTTAGCTCTTAAGCACTCTCCAAGGGTGAATTCGCCCGTGCTTACTCCTTCCATTTCAACCAAGTCCTGCTCCCTCTTCCTCTTTCTAGTGACTCTGACTTCTCCATTAGGACCTAGATCATGGGACACCCATCTGGGAACATTACCTCTTTTTCTTCCCAATTTTGTTAGGTGTTGCTTCCTTATACACTCATAGCACCAAGACATCAGTTCTTGGAGCAAATGCCCCCCAGACAGTGTTATCAAAACTACCCTCTCTCCCCTGCTCTGCATTGTGAGCCGGGGTCAGTGACCCACATCCATGTCCTCTGGTTCGGCCTACCTTACAGATTTTCCCTTTAATAGTATCAATGTTACATGGACCATAAAAAGTAATTGGAAACCTAAGTTATAGAGATGTAAAAACACAACAATGTCGGAGGTGCTATTTTCATCCTCATTTGCCCCGAAGTGTTGCTTTTGTTTCTCCTATATTTACATCACTAAAAGTCCCCCTTTGTGCATTGAATTCTCTTCATGTGGCAGAGTAAAACTGCAGACCACAGAGCCATGCACTTCTCAGCCAGTTTGGTCTTAGGGAGCTTGCTCCAGGGAAGCCTGACTCAGGGATCTTCAAGGGACTCCAGCTTAGGGTAATCCAGGGATAAGGAAGGCTACTGTAAATGCAAAATTGGTCAATTGAGGCCAGAGACAGACCCCTATAAGGAGACCCATCATGGGGAAATGAGCCTCAAAGATGATGGTTTGGGGAAAGATGACAGACTGTGCTTCAGCATGTTATAGGAGAGTCTCTTGGGGAGATATCCTCCATGAATGTGACCCACAGGAAACAAAAAAGCCCCCATGATTCGTGCCGAGAGTAACCTGTATAAATGCAAGCAATGTGGAAAGGTTTTAACAGGAAATGATATGTTGTTCAACATCAGTGGGTTCACACTGGCATGAAGCCCTATGAATGCAATGCATGTGGGAAAGCCTTTAGCCTGAGCTCAACCCACATTCGGCATTATCTCATTCACACCAGGGAGAAACCGTACAAGTGCATGGAGTGTGGGAAAGTCTTCCAATGCAGGTCCTACCTCTTAGAATACCATCCAGTTCACACTGGGGAGAAGCCCTAGGAGTGCAGTTGAAACCGAACACAAACACAGGTTGCTTTACCCTACACACAGCAAAGCCAGTTACCAAAACATCATGGTTATAGCAAGGAAAGAGGTTTATTATGGAAAGGCAGCCAGACAGGGAGATGGGAGCTAAAACTCAAATCTACCTCCACAAAGGGGAAAGGGTAGTGGTTATTATCTGGGGTTTTAGGGAGGGGAG